CACGAGAAGGATCGTTAAGAAAGTAAAGGTAACGTCAAGTCTTTGACGACAGCTCACATGAGCTAACATGCCCCTTCCGGCGGATGTAGACTTGGTAACATAGTAAGTACGACGTTTACATTCTTGCGTCTTCTCTTCCTGGGTTTAACAGTTTCAACAGTGTCAGGTTTGACTTCCTCTTCAGAGACCTTGTCAGTTTGTGATCCTTGTTCAACTGAGGCCTTCTTAAAAGATTCTGGTGGAATGATCAAATCTTGGAACTTGCTGCTGGGGTACAGCCAGTCATGAGTGTCCCTCTCCACAGCAACACCAAGAGCTCGCTCTCCACCAACAAAACGACCACGTTCGTCGCGAACACCCAACTTCTCTGCAGCTTCCAAACGATCTCGGCGTTGCTGTTCCGCCGTAGAACCTTGAGTTTGGTATTCACGATCACGAGCAACCTCTGTTCGGTACCACTCTTCGAATCTGGGATCAGGCATTGGATAGAAGCAACGTAATTGGGTCTTGTTGACTTGACGCTTAAGACCTTTGTGCCACACTGACTCAAGCAAGTAGGTACCTTGTTGTTCATGCAAAACCTTGGTGATTCGCATGGGTTCTGACCATGTCGGCATGAGCTTGTCACTGCCATAGTACTTCACTAACTTTTCACAATCTTTCTTAGTAAGCTGGTAGATAACCACATCTCCCAACTCAAACTTACGATGGTCCTTCTTAACAGCGGATAGCGCCTGTCGACTTATGGCTTGCTCAAACGCCTCTTGTCGTAGTTGAGTAATGAGGCTGTATCTATGTGCAGCCCGAGTGTCCAACGATTCATAGTTCGTCCACGATTGAAAGTGTGGTAGTACCATGTCATTTCCTGTGAGTAGTCTGTACGGTGATTCTCCAGTAGAAATATGCGGAGTTGACCTGTAGGCGTAAAGTACGGATGCAAGCACTTCCTCAAAAGACCAATTATTGACACTTGTTCTTGACAAGGCTCCTTTGAGAAAGTGGTGAAATGACTCCACCATAGAGTTTCCTTGCGGGTACTGCGGCGTCGCGTTACTAGTTCGAATCCCTAGGGACTCCACTTTGTCACAGAAGTCACGGCCAGTAAACATGGCACCGTTGTCGGTCAGCATTTTCATTGGCACTCCTAATCTACAGATCCACATGGAATATACCAAGTTCCATGCAGTTAATGCAGTGCCATCTTCGAGAACTCCAACTTCTACCCACTTCGTTAAGTTATCAATCATGGTGATTAGATTGTAAGTTTTCTTCTTATACATGAATGGTCCTATCGCATCGACCGAAACTAACAGGTTGAAATCAGTGGATAGCAAGACACCTTTTCCAACCAAATTGACGACATTCATTCTTCTTTGACATGTAAGGCAACCAGCAGTGAAATCGAC